AATGTGGTATATATTATGGAACATACATGTATCTCCTATCTCAGGGTATTATTGTGACAAAAGTTAATCCCGATGGCCCAGCTCAAGGTACTCTTAGACCTGGTGATAAAATTTTAGAAGTTGACGGAATAGATTTCACCAAATCTGATCATAATAATGCAGTTGCCGTTCTTCGAGCTACTGGTGCCGTGGTTTCTATGATGATCAGTCGTCATCAATGATGTAAAATACAAAATCTCTTTGAGAGAGTATACGTCATCGTGTAAAAAAAAAAAAGAGAAAGAACTAAAATTGCAATCAACATAGAACTTTCTCACCTGGAAGTTCTAAAACCAAAATTTCGTAATGAATGTAATTGTATCCCAGTGTTGTATGTTTGCTAAGAATGCCATGCGCAAATTGGTACTTAAAATGCTTATAGTATGCAATAACTTTAAGATTTTGAGAATGAAACTTGGGTAAACTAAAATGTGATCTATAATAATAACGTTTGAATATGTTATTTTTGAAAATTTTAACATTTTTTATGGGACGAGACATAGTTATTTGGTCCTTACAGTGTTTTTACTAATAGAAGACTAGATAAGGTTCTTTCTTGAATCTTTACTATCTTAAAAAAAAAGAAAAAGAGAACTACATATTTCTATGAAGTTCTGTGATGTTGTTTAAACGATTGAATTATGTCAACTCGTTCTCTTTCACGAGAACTAATAATGTGCCAGAAAAAAGAAAATATTATTTATTAATTATGCACATACGCAAATATATAGATAAAATACACATACACACATATTCACACACACGCGTGTTATGCGTATAAATAATATAAAAAAAGATTTATTAATAATTAATAGACGAACAGGGTTTCTACAGATATACTACGTATCTTATACAGGTATCTCTGCAAAATGTATAATTTTTTATATTCTTGATAAATTCGTGAATAAGCGCGAAGATCTTATTATCTTATATTTTTTCTATAACTTTTATAAATTTATATATCGCAGTGTATAATAACTTTTTGGAAACAAGATAAACAATATGTACAATGTGTGATATATTTTCGAATACGCAAATTATTCCATTGAATTGATATTTTTCATTTATATTTGTAAGCAATTTATTAGTCTCATAATTATCGAGGAAATATAGAAAATAGTATTTTGTGTGAATGCGACAAATAAATTAAACAAAAAAGATAACTATAAAATAATATTTTTCTGTAGGAACCTTGTTAACGCGTAGAGAAGAAAAAATTATAAAGATAAAGATATTCTTCTATGTGCCGTATTAATTAAATAATGTTTGTAAAAGATTCAGTTCATTATTATTGATCACATAAAAGTTTATATATATTTTTCTATTATCTCTGATTGATCGGATTCTTTGCACAATAATATATATATATATATGTAGATACATATACATATATATAAATTACATTCATCAGATTTAGTTTGCAGTATGCATATGCTGTTATTTCTCTTGCCTATTATTAATAAAAGGCTCCTAGTTTACGAAGTACGTTCTTTTTTTTTCTATTTTTTTTTTTTGTGATTCGACAATTTTCTAGTATTTACTCTTTAACTTGGTACAAATGATAATTTAAAATACTAACAATAAGAACTTATTATATCATGGTTGTGATTTATCTCATGATTTTGAGAAACAAATATATATATATATATATATCTTTTAGAAGCTATGCTTTATATAATGCAGTCGATAATAGATATTGATATATATAATATTATTATTATTATTTTGTAGTATTTTATTCTCTTTTTTTTATTACAATTTCTTTTTTACAAGTTCCATTGACAAGTAGAAAATTTATATAGTATTATTTATACAGTAGCGTATGTGAAAAAAAATGTTAAGAATCGTAGAGAAAAAAAATAATAAGGCTCGCATAATTAATATGAATTAAGATTAAAAAAAAAAAAGCCTGTAGAAAAAACTAGAAATTCTTCCTTGTCATTTGAATTTAATTTTGAATTTATATAGAAAGAAAAAAAGCAATAATACTCACACGCACATATATATATATATATGCATATATCGTCTAAAGTATAATTCTTATTTTAATTTTAAACTTTTAGTTGGTGTTATATAAACTATTCAAATTTTGTTTATATTTCAAAAATTGCTATATTTAATATTAATCTCATTAAAATCACGTCACATGCATACATACATATACACATATACGCACATAGGACAATGTTAGATTAGAGAGACAACTGCATTTATAAAATGAAATATTAGTATATAATTAAATTTGCACGGTACGTTGTTGCATTTAAATAATAATCACGTTTACATAGTAGTAGTAATATATATATATATA